GAGAGAAGAGAGAGAGAGAGAGAAATATTCTGTGAGTAATATTTATTGGATAAAAATTCAAAACTAATCCCACGGATTGAGGGGCTGCCATTTTTTGTCCCGCAAGATAGTGATTGTCACAAATAGTCCCACAACTATCAAAAAGTAATCAAAAGTAGAACTTTTGATGCGATTTCGGGTCCAAGAGGCCCGATAAGCCATGTGGCACCGATAGGACATTTTTTCTTGATACGCTGCTAGCCGTCATCACACGTGGCATGACACTAAACCTGTAGGAATAGTTTTGTATTTTTTTCTATTTTTTTGTATTATTATGTAAATCTAAGACAACATTACGTATATATATAGTTTTTTATATTAACTATTTATAAAATTTTTAATTATGAATAAGGATACAACATACATTAAAATAAAACTAAAAATATTTTTAATTAATTATATTTTTTGATGTGTTATTTTTAATAGGAATTATTTTAGCTTCTTTTTAATATTAAATTATTATAAAATTATAAAAAATATATTTATTCGTCAGATAATTATAGTGAACATTTTTTATTCATGACATAATTATTTTTATATAATTTATTATTGTTTAAAAAAAATATAGCAAAAAAGTATTACCTATAATTATGTCATTAATAAAACTATTTTTGTAATTTAATAATAATTTAATTTTATAGTTAATTTATTTTTAATTAATTACTTTATTTTTATTAAATAAATATAAAATTAAAAAAAATATGTCATGAATAAAAATGATAGCTATAATTATGTCATGAATAAAACTATTTTTGTAATTTTATAAAATTATACCATTTATGTCTTTTTCATTCTTCGAAAATTAATTTACAGTATAGCCGCTTATGACATCTCCCTCCAATTTGGTGGCCCTCCATCTAACATGTCACTTGGTAAGTTAAATAAAATGGTTTTTGTATTTGATAATAATTTAATTTTATAGTTAATGTTTTTTGAATATTTTTTATTAAACAATTATAAAATTACAAAACAATTACTATAGTTTTTTTATTAAATAATTATTAAATTAACAAGAAAAATATGTCATGAAAATATTAACTATAATTATGTCATGAATAAAACTACTTTTATAATTCTATAACAATTTAATATTATAGTTAATATTTTTTTACTATATTTTTATTAAATAATAAAAAAGTCACCAAAAACATTGTTATATATTTCAAATGTGAATATTTAATAATAAATTTGAAGTTCTGCTACGATATACACAAACAACTAGAATAGCGCTAAACGTATAAAACAGTAAACTTAAGAAAGTTCACACAATTGCGGAAGCAAAGATTCTTCAAAAATGAACCTTCAGGAAAGCGTCCCACTGTCCATCCGGACCTCTTTCATTAATGTAGATCTCTCAACCATTACTCAAGGATTTACAGTGTAGACTACAAGAATAATAATTTTTAGTGGCGAAAATATTTGCCACTATATGTTCAAATGTCGTCACAAAAAATACCGTCGCTAATAATGTCGCTATATGTTCGAATGTCGTCACAATAATTATTTTATAGTCATGACATTAATGTCGTCACTAAAATTAATGTCGCTAATAATGATTATTCTTGTCGATTACCTACACCACTACATATCCGACTACAAATCCCTTGTGGTTTTTCTAGTTTGAATCCCTCAAACTATTCTAAGTGATCCTCCCGAACACTTAGTACAATTGAATAAAAAATCTCTGATATGCATTACGAGCACGAGAACAATCTCTCGTCTCACACTCAATCAATCAAAACAAAGAACACACTCTTCTTCGATAAATTTCCTTCTTTTTATTTTGCTCCCCTTTTTATCTCTTAAAACATAAACATTGATAATGAAGCCAACTTCTTCAACATCCTTTTTCCAGCATTTTTGTCCTGAGCCTTTGGATGGCAAGTCACTTTCCTGCTGCCAAGTCACGCTCAGAAAGTATGTCCCTTGAATTGATTTGCTGCCCAGTTATGGAAAGTTTGAGACGCTTCTTTAGTTCCTTCCATAAGGTAAGCGCCTCTAATGAATAATCTCCTTTATCCTGCACAATCAATCGCCATATCAAATAAATTCAGAATCCTTAAATATTTACAGAATTAAGTAAGATAGTATAAAGTACACTTCGTTTAAATAAACCTGCCTGTCGTCTTGTCCGATGAAGCTTCTTTGACTCAATTTGGAGTTTATTAATTTAATGCCAAACACCAATTTCAACAAAATCAGTTCAAAAATTGGGTAGTGCTTGAAAAGTTAATGAATTATTCATATTTTTAAGTAAGTTATTTATTAAAAAGAATAATTCTAAGAAAATATAAATAGCGAATTCATATAATATGATGTTTCTAAAATTATTTTTGGTCATCCCAAATGGAAAGAGCAAACCACGAAGTAAAAAATAATTAATTTTTGTATTTACCTGTATATGTAAATATCTTAGTCTTGAAATTTTTTCCGGAAATGGCACTAGTTGAGAAAATCGGCATTTGTAATTCCAGATATTGTTAAAAAGAATAGTTCTACGAAAAAAGCTTTTGAATCATTGTACAATTGTTAAAATATATTATCGAATATTCACATTTCTAAATTTTTGTTTGTAATTTTATAATTATTTAATTAAAAACATAGTAAAACATGTTAACAACAATTATAGCATGAATAAAACTATTTTTTGTAATTTTATAATAAATTCATATTATGAAAAAGCTAAAAGAATACTTATTAAAAATAACACATCACAAAATAAAAGCAATTAAAAATATTATCTAGATTTATTTTATTTTATAATCTATCCTTATTCATAATTAAGATTGTTTATAAATAGTTGTAACAAATAATTATATACTTAATAATATATTTATATTAATTCATATATATAATAATTTATATGACAAAAGAGAGCATAACAATATAAAAAATAGAAAAATTTTCAAAACTAGTCCCACAAGTTTAGTGTCGTGCCACGTGTGATGACGACTGCCAACGTGTCAAGAAAAAACGTCATATCTGCGCCACATGACTTATCTTGCCTTTTGGACCCGAAATCGCATCAAAAGTCCTAGTTTTGATTACTTTTTGAAAGTTGTGAACTATTTGTGACAATCACTATCTTACGGGACCAAAAATGACACACCCCTCAACCTGTAGGACTAGTTTTGAATTTTTCCCATATTTATTGATAGTGACTAACATATGTTAAACTTTCATATTCTTGATTATATACATAATTCTAAAATGACAAATATTTTATAACGAGTGAAATAAACATATATATCATATATTCAATTATTATATATCATAATAAAATAATTGATATTAATATTCGAACCTACTTTTTATACTATCAATATTTTATTGCCAAAATACAAGCAGTTTATAATTATTGCCCTGTGCATCGCACGGGGTACATACTAGTTATTTGTGTATGTTTATATGTATATATAACACTAGTACCATAGTTTTCAAATTAGGCCCGATAATCGACCCGGGCAGGTCCTCGAGGCACCGGTTCAACCGTCAGGTCACTGGGTCAATTGTTGAACCGGATAATTAATTTTTAAATTTTAAAATTATATATAGAATATTTATGTCATATAAATATACATAAAAATAACAAAATTAAATGTTTTATGTATAAAATTTGTATATTAAAGTGTTAATAGTATGTATCTCATGATAAATATTTACCATATAAATATATATACATAGTTTTATTTTTAAAAAACCAAAAAAAATAAAGAAAATATATATGGACCGGGTCAATGTCCCGGGTCGGCCGAGTCAAGGCCGGGTTGGCCAGGTTTTGACGGGGTCCTTTGTTGCCCTGTCCAAATACCCCACTCGGACCGGTTCCGGCTCCGGTCGACCGGGTCTCGGGTCGACCCGCCGGGCCGGTCCGGGTAAAAAAAACTATGACTAGTACAACACCCTTGTGCTATACGGGTGCATGATAAAATAATTTGAACAAAAAAAGTAAAAGAGTTTAGTAATTGTAAGTATATACAACATAAATAAATAGAAGTTTAATAAAACATAAATTAGTGTATATTGGTATTTGTTTCAAATTCTAAAAAAATTATTTGTACCCAACATTATAAGTTCTACTTACAATTTTTTTATTCTTGTCTCAACACAAATTTGTAATGAATTGTGGCATCCGTAAATCAAGAGGTTAATATTAATAAGATACGGATGTGTTGAGTTAAGATTTCATTAATTATATTATCAGTATGATTATAATATAAAATTTTAGTTCATTATTATTCATTATGCAAAGAAAGACACAAGACTCAAAAATGCGCTAAAATTTATTAACTTGAAAAAAAATATATATATAATGAATGGGATAAATTCTTAACAAAATGAAATAGGAAAAGAAAGATTTGTATGATCTTTAAATTCAAGAAAAATTTGGTAATGAAGAGAGATATTGATGAGAGACAACAAGGCATGGTACTGGAAAAATTATTTATAGCACTTTCCAAGCCAATTTTGTGTCTAATTTTTTTTATCCGAACTAAAATACAAAGCATGATATTATGACATGTAGGATTCCGAATCGTGCGGACAACCACTTAGACTCAGCACATTTTAAAATAATATATAGGAGAAATTTCCTTATGCATATAGCATAGAATGGGTGCGCTAATTAAACATTGAATACATAAAGTAAACATATCTCTAGATGGCGTCCAACGTAAGTAACACGTACGTATTATTGGCATGCATCAAGTGGCTTCCCTTGTAACTGTGCTCAATACCCACTCACCATAAACTCCGTCGTATGATCGATCGTCCCCAATTAAGTTTAAATCCTCTTGACTCTTGATTGATATTTGATGATTAATTACTCCTTATCCTTGACATTATTGGCTGTATCTCAAACCCATCGACATTCTTCAAATTAATTTTCGTGACAATATTGCTTTTGAATAATGCCTAAATGTCCAACCACGAACCAACACGATGACCAAATCAATCCCCACCCTTGAGCCACTTGCGGATAATACTATACGACTTTTTCACAAATTAACTATTAAGAATATAACCAAAATAACAACCAACATTTGTTTAAAAAAAAAAAAAATGTCAACCACGCGTTTTGGCAATCAACATGACAAAATTTAAACTAAAAGAAAGAAACCACGCTCGTCAGCTCCCTATAAATTCAGCGCCAAAGCTGCCTTATTTCTCAATCAACTTCACCTAAAACCAAATTGCCTTGATTCCTTACATTGTTCGATCCTTATACATTGCCAGGAAAAAGGAAACCAAATATATAATTCGAATTTGTCACCGTACTTTGTCTTAACATGGCCACCGCAAAGCTCGTCAACTTTTTATTCACCCTAACCATACTACTCACAATACTCACAATCCCATCCCAAGCCCAGCTGTCCCCAACTTTCTATGCCCGTACATGTCCCAATGCGCTGCGTACAATCCGTGCCTCCATCTGGCGGGCTGTGGCCCGCGAGCGCCGCATGGCAGCGTCACTCATCCGCCTCCACTTTCACGACTGCTTCGTGCAGGGCTGTGATGGTTCGGTGTTGCTCGATGATGCGCCCACGATCCAGAGTGAGAAGTCGGCTTTCCCTAACTTGAACTCCGCAAGAGGGTTTGACGTGATTGAGGCCGCCAAGAGAGATGTCGAGCGTTTGTGCCCAGGTGTCGTCTCCTGTGCGGACATTCTGGCCGTGGCCGCACGTGATGCCTCGGTGGCGGTAAGTATATGAATTATTTATGCAATTAATTGTCATTTAAAAGGAATTATATGAAAAAGTAACTCATTATTATTATTATGATTACTTTTTTTAGGTCCGTGGGCCGTCATGGAACGTGAGGCTCGGGAGAAGGGACTCTACCACAGCTAATCGTGATGCGGCAAACCGTGAACTACCGGGGCCATTTTCCACCCTTGATGGCCTAATCACGTCTTTTAAGAATAAGAGCCTCAGTGAAAGAGACATGGTTGCCCTCTCTGGTATATACGTGACTAAGGGCTTGATTGTTTACAAGTTCGTTATTCATCACATTTATTTTATACTCAAAATCTAACTTAGTCTCACTATTTTTAATATTATTCATATAATTAAATAATATAAACCAATCATTTTTACACACATCACATCAACTTTAATTCACTATTCATCCACTCACATAATTTTTTTTTCTTGCCCATCCACTCACATAAATTTAACTACCTATCATTTCCAATCATTTATCTCCTACTTTTACATCAAATCAATTTTAATCATATTATTTTAATACATTCTTAAAATTTCACCAACAATTAACCATACCACATTTTTCCAAAAATAACTATAGTCAACCAGAATAAATCATTTTGAACGGATTATTTGATAAACGAGCGCGCCTTTAATTTTCATATTACATTCGACATTAAAATATTCATTAAAAATGCATCATAAAATTTTACGTGGCTGCATGCATGTACGCAGGATCACACACGATCGGGCAAGCGCAGTGCTTCCTGTTCCGAAGCAGGATCTACAGCAATGGCACGGATATCGATCCATTCTTTGCCCGTCTGAGGAGACAGTCTTGCCCTCAGACGGGTGGGGATAGCAACCTTTCCCCACTCGACCTTGTAACCCCCAACAGGCTCGACAACAACTACTTTAAGAACCTTCGTCAAAGGAGGGGTCTCCTTCAGTCGGACCAAGTCCTTTTTAGCGGGGGCTCTACAGACAGTCTAGTTTTCAGCTACAGCATAAATCCTCACCTATTCGCCTCCGATTTCGCTAATGCCATGCTCAAGATGTCTGAGATTCAGCCATTGCTCGGGTCGAATGGGATCATAAGGAGGGTTTGTAACGCCACAAACTAAGTGCGCTGTTAAGAAATATTGTTTGCGAACACTTCAAGAAAAGAAATAACTAAAAGATATACTAGTGTTTGCGAATACTCTGTAATTGCGGCTGCGAGGGCTATATATGCAGAGAGATTATTTTACGTACTTGTATTGATTTATAAAGCATATGGAATTATGAATATGCTATTCTATAATCTGGGCTATATATGCAGAGAGATTATTTTACGTACTTGTATTGATTTATAAAGGGCAAAATTTTATTTTTGGTCCTATAACTTGGCCACATGCAGTCCAAAAAACCACCCATATATTGACCATTTCAATTTAGGTCCTATAACTTGTCAATTTCATCATTTATGGTCCTATTTTATCCCACACCGGGATAAAAACATGACGTGACGCCTAGTCAGATCTATTTAGGATTTTTTGGCATGATGTGGCATCCTGGTTGCCAAATGGAAATAACACTTAGATTAAATCTTTTTTAAAAAAAAAAAAAAATTAACCAAAAATTGGTTCTGCCAAAGTGGAAATAACCAAAAATTAAAAACAAAAATAAAACAAAAAATCAAAACCAAAATGGAAATTAAAAAGGAGAAAAAACCATGTCCCCAAACCACTGTTGCTCCACCTTCTCCACGAAAAAGTCTGCAAATTGAAAAACTCACGTCCTCACTAATCAAGCATGTTTTTGAAAGACTAACTTTTCCCATATATCATGCAACTATATGAATATACTTGTGCGCGCTTAATGTTGAGAAGATGAATATATGGTGGCTCGCAGAGAAGATGGCCGGAAAATTCGTTGCTGGAAAAAAATCATCGATTCCGGCAATGATGGACGTCACTAGATGCGGCTCGGCGAGAGGAGTTTGGAGGTACCTTCAGATTCACGTGGGTCAAAGCGGATCACCGGGAATTTGTAAAAGAAGGCCGAAAAAAGTTTGTAGATCTACAAGTTTTAGCCGGAAATTGAAAGCCTTACCGTCGGAAGTTTTGTGTGAAATTTCGATATGTTGTTGGCCCGGAGAAGAGCTACAAGATGACGTAAAAATTTTTAAAATCCGGCGAGTTTGGCCGGAGGCAGGCGGCGGTGGGCGGCGGCGGGAGGCGGCCGACGGCGGCGTAGAAATAAGTTATAATTATCGGGGCTCATCTTGGAAAATTTAATAAGTTATAAGGACTATCTTGTACTTTTAATAATTTTAATTAATTGCACCTAAGTCCTAAAGTTGACTGGATCATTGAATTTTGAAGTCAAAGTTTTCTAATCCCGCCACATAAGTCACAATCACGCCATGTCAGATAAAAAATTGTCATGTCATGTTTTTATCCCGGGGTGGGATAAAATAGGACCATAAATGATGAAGTTGACAAGTTACGGGACCTAAATTGAAAGTGGTCAATATAGGGGTGATTTTTTGGACTGTGGCCAAGTTATAGGACCAAAAATAAAATTTTGCCATTTATAAAGCATATGAAATTATGAATATGCTATTCTATAATCTGTATACTTTGATGACAACATATTTATATAAAATGCGTAAAAAAATTTGAACACCGCATATAAATATGCCCTAATTCTTTTAACAAATAAAATATTATTTGTGAATATAATAAGAAACAAATAAAGCAATATTAAGACAATGAAGAAAAAGAAGTCTGACTTTTTTTTTTAGAAAAATATGATTATCAACATCTAGAAACAAAAGTCTTTTATAATTACTATATTTTTTATTACTACACTTACTAATAAATATGAAAAAGGTAATAAATAGAAATTTTATAATTAATAAAAAATATAAACTTTTAAAACTTGCACTTATCGATGTAAATGAGTTGAGTTGTCAAGCAGTTATTAATTTCTTGTGCTTATTACTTATGTGTATAAGTTTTATGTTATAAACAATAGTTCTTTGTATTTTAATCCTTGTAGGTTATAACTTTTATTTTTTTAAAAAAAAAAAATTGATTATTCTAATTTTTAACTTTTTATTTGCTATTGGTTTTGGAATATAATATATAATCATATTACATATATAAAATAATAATTATTTTTATTATTTAATAACTAAATGTAAAAAATGTAACTCAACTAAGAAATTAATGGGTACGAGAGATAAAATAATGAGTGATTTCTGAAAAAATAATATGGACTAACAAAAACTATTACATAAAAGTTTTAATGTTTAAGAAGAAATATAAAAAAAAATACTATATTCCAATGAAAAATTTGAAGGCAAGTATTTCTTCAAATGGATATTTCATTAGTATAACTTTCATTGAAAAATTTCGGTAATGCATATAAAAATTAGTTTTGTTTAGATTTTTTAGTGTGTTTTGGTTAATTTTGAAAAAGGTGGTACAGTTGTTCATAGGTATACTAAAATAATATTTAAAATAAAATAATTAAAGTTGATTTGATATAAAAGTTGAAGAATTGTTATTTAAAGTGATGGCTAGTTAAAATTATGTGAGTTGATGAATAGTGAATTAAATTGAGGTGATGTGTAAGAATGATTGATTGATATTATTTAATTATATTGATAATATTGATGATAGTGGAGTTTGTTAAAATTGGGTTAAAAAAATAGTTGAATTAAAAATGTTTGGATTTTTTTTTAGAAATTTTGTATCTAAGCATCCTTTTAATGTTTCCAATTATAACTCTCATAATTTGTCATCTTTCTCATTCGAAATATATTTTTTAAGTTTTAACATAATAATATAGTCACAATAAGTTAAAAAATATTTAAGAAAAAAAAGCATAATTTTTTTCAATTTAACATAAGAAATCATTGAATATAATATATTTTTTAAAAATTTTATGAAAAAAAAAATTATATTGTAGTATAGTTGACTCAACTCGATTATATAATTGATTAATTTATAAATTATGAACATATAGCTAGAATTCCACATACATTAGCTGAAAAAGATATAAAAATATATTTTGAAGTTAGAGAAAGCATTATGTTGCAAAAAAGTGAATAGAATTATCACAAAGATTAAAAAATAGAATTAGAGGGTAAAATTGTAATTTTTAGTTTTTATCATATTTTCTGTAGTTGTGATACCGCATTTATGTTATAACTTTAATAAAATTATGAGCTGAATTAAATTATAATTGGTTGAGTTGTAAAGTAATTAATTATGCATTTTCTTTCTTTTAGTTTTAAAAATAGGGGATTTAATTAAAATTATAAAAAATATTCACACAATTGTTGTTAGATACCTTATCCTAGATGTTTGGGTGAGGGTTTGGGTCAGCCTATACACATGGATCATCCCATGATTCCAACAAAATATTTTTGTCATAAACTTTTCATTGAAAACGTCAAAATGAAGTAATAACATTGAAGTGTTTGTTAGATTGCTGTTAAAATTCCACTGTAATATATTTTCGTTGAAATTTCATCATTTTTCTTATAGTAAAATTAGGACTCTAAATCAATGAAAAAAAATACATTATATATAATACTGCGTGCAACTAATTATTATGAAAATTGTTGATAATGATAGAAAATATAACATATTTAACATAATTTTTATTTAATTTGTGATAATTGGTAGTTTTTTCAAAACAAACAAGATGCATCTAAGTTGAAAAGTCCTTAATTGTTTTAATAGTATTATAGCAATTAAACAAGGGGTAAGAATGATGTTCTACGTAATAAAACTGTAAAACTAGGCAAGGAGAAAGCATATAGCTCGCATTCAATCCATAATTCAAAAAAGTGATAAAATTAATTAATGTCCTATATCAGTTGGAGTTGGCTAATGGAAATTTAAACATATTAAAGATGAACATTTTTTACCTAGAAATTTTAAGTACATAAATAAAAATATATTTTTGGCATTAAAAATTGGTATGTTAATCTTAATTTTTTTAGTTACAAATTTAATTACTGTCTACCATTAAAATTTTTAATTTTGAAATAGTTAAAATTTATTTATTTGTTACCCTTTTTATAAGTAATATATTAGTTCTCATAAATAATGATCCTATATTATCGAGAATTTTAAGTAATTAAATAAATAAAAACTTTGTAATACATAAACTAAATTATAATAATAACTTTGTAATAATAAAGTTCACAGAACGACTAATAGTATCATAATATAATAAAATTCTAATTCTTTTCTTCTCAAATACTTGGCAAATGATATGTAATACATAACATAAATTTTAATAATAACTTCGTAATAATAAAGTTCACAGAGCGACTAAGAGTATCATAACGATAATATAATAAAATTTTAATTCTTCTGTTCTCAAATACTTTAACAAATGATACGCTTCTTAATATTGTCTCATTTTTATTTTATTTTATTTTTGTCCAAGAAAGGAACTTTATCTTAAAATTTTTGAAGCATTATGTATCATGCAAAAAAAAATTAGACAATAAAAGCACTAAATAAGTTATTAGGCACATAAGTACTGCAAATTCGAGCGAATGTGAAAGATATAATGATAAACAACGCTAAAATGATTGCAAAAACCAAGATGATCAATGGTTTGCAAACTATATATTATATAGTTCGTTTGTCTTCCAAATAAATAACATTGAAAAAAAATGTTGAAGCCTCATCAAAACATTGTTGAATGTTTGAATAAAATTGTTCATTTTTTTATAGAAATATTTACAATCTCATTGTGTATTTTGCTCGAACATATGTGCAATTACTTTACAGTACATACTTTCATGTAATTGATGATTTCAAAAAGTAATTTAACGTCTCGAGAGAAGTACATGTAAGTAAGATTTTGGAAAGTTAAATTTTATTTGGAGATGAAATTCATTCACACCCAGTGGGCAATGCCTCCATGAGGTAGGTACCAATTTGTCTACATGGACATAGTAATAAAGTAGTTTATACAATGATAAAAAAATATCAACAATTTAATGATGCGGTTGGTTAATTTACAAAGAATACCTAATAAAAATCATACAATCATGAAGTTTAACTATATGTTTGGCCAGAATATTTATAAGTGTTAGAATAAAGTAGACGTTTTGCCAAATGAATTAAGAAGAATTTTGAAATACTATTAATGTACTGAGCTCCAACGAGTATGAATGTTTCTTATGAAAATGTCCAAACCAAAATGAAAGAAAATTACTCTTTAATCATATAACATATTCAAATAAAATACTAATATATCTATAATATCCATTGGGTCCTTATTTAGTTTATTTTGTGTTTTTTTCCCCAGTAAGAACTATTTTTGTTGGGTTGTAATATGTTATTTCATTCTTTTTTATTAGGACAT